TTGTAATTAAAAAAAAAAAAAAAAAAAAAAAAAAGTTATGATTAGTCATTTTCCTTGAAATCGCATTGTAAGATACGAAAACGTAGTAACTTTTTTCCTCAAGTCGAAATATTTAACTTATCGTCCCTTTTAACGTCCCAGTGATATCACTGAATAGTTTTAAAGATGGAAATTTATCCTATATGTTCATATGCAAATTAATATGAAAAAAAAAATTGGTAAAAACTGTTTCCAATTTTCATGGGAAAATCAAAAGTTTTAAAACATAAAGAGAAGAGGAACTTGTAGATGGTGAACAGAATTTTAGATTGATCTGCTTTCTTGCGCGTCATCGCCATGTTTAATGAATGATTGTGACGTTGTGATACTTGCAGGCGAAGGGACTTGTGGGGAATATTTCTGCTTCCTTAGTTCAAATCAACAAACTTCATGTCAGCTGTTTTCCCCCATTAGGCGGGAAATTAAGTAATCGCACTACTGCTCAAATGGGTTGGTACCTCTGACTTCCTTACCGGTCCGTACGGCGTGAAACAGAAGAAGGTGTCGGTCAGAAACAGGGAGAAGCAGGACGTTTTGTTTCACGTTAAATGCAAAGTTTTGACAAAAATAGATAAAAATATTTACCCAGCAACCGACAAAATTTCCCTGAACCACTTAAATTTCCTTGAAATTTTTCTTAGAAGTCAATCCTGGAATGCATTTTGTGTATATAATGTATTAAGAGGAATTATCTTTATTTCGAGTGCAGTGAATTTTGATCTAATCGCGTAAAAATGACAGACGACTGTATTTTCTGAAACAGAACGTTGAATGTTTCACGGCAGAAAGAAAAATGTCGAGTACATTTTGGTCCACCCGCTTTGAGTCCTCGCACTGATCTGCGCTGAAGGCATGGAAGTTGCTAAGTAAATTAACTTGCAAGTGCTGTTTACAGAGAAAAACTAAATTACACTTCATTTGGCAACCACCCTGTATAAATTATATTTATTCCGCGTCCCAGTGATGAAAACAAAACTTGATTAGAGAATTTACAAGGAACTCAGATTCCTAACGATGGCTGTCGCGTGGATTACCTGGAGCCAGCATCAGTGGCACTCCTTAAGCGCAAGCAACTCGAATCCTTAATTGTAAATGACAATATTGTTCTTATTTTAAGTGTGACTTTTTCTCAGTTGTGTTATTTTTGTACTTAATTATTAAAATTAATATAAATGTTGAATATGAACTAAGGAAGAAAATAATTCCCTCGAGAGAAAAACATTTCTCGTCGTGTCCAATTAAGTTGGTTACGTGCAAAGAAAGAGCACGTTTAACTTTTGCAATCTCATGAAAAAGAGTGACGTCTGTGGCGCGCGGAAATGTCGTAAGAAACCTCTTCAACTTTGCGTGTTGGCGAAATGATAGTATCGATGTATTCAAAAATAAGTTTAGTTGTTTCACGATTCTAACCCTACTTTCTCTAGAGCTAAGAACTCTGCATTATCCAACGTAATTATCAGCATTTTTCGAGGTACGTACATGTGTAATTTCTGAAAGTGAGGAGTGTACAAAACTTCTCTGTTGGTAATAAGATGCGGCATCAGTTGGCAATATTAACTTTCTACCCCAAAAAATTTCCCACGTCACTAAATGTAATAAAACGTATAATTCTGTCTACAATTTATCTTTGCTGAAGCAAAGGAAATCATCGCAAAGCACTACATATCCAGTTCTGAAGTAAAAATGTTAAATGACACTGTATAATATCTAAATATATTTATGTTGTTGTTACTGGAATATATTTTATACAACAGTGTAACGCTCCTGTATGCATACGTGTCCAGAAGATGGCACTGGTAGGTTTATCCACGACTCTGTTATAATTAATTAAACATTAATAATGATTTGTTACTTTGTATTGTACAGTAGACAGATTCTACGTTTTGGTTTGTCAAGAAATGTATCATGTTGAACTGAAACAAATGCATTACATTAATTACGTTGACTCTTACCAAAGTTCAGCTTAACCGTCACAATGGAAGGGCACTGCACTCTGTCGTCGACTAGGGGAAACTTGAACGTAACTAACGTCTGCCGTGAGGCGTGCAACTGATTTCCGTCTTTACTCATAGAATGCGCCCTGGTGCTCTGAACGGTGTCACGCGCGTTGGATGACGAAATAAAGCGTTTGCCGTCTGGGACCAGCGCGGGCACACGCCCCACAACACAAAATCCTGCAAATGCGTGACCTCTTAACAGACACCGACAGAGTCAGTTCGCATCGCAGCCTCCTTCCTGATATCCCACTTTTGCATCTCTTTCACGTCACTTCTCATACTTTTTATTTAAGAGAATTTAATATTTTAGTTTGCTGTTGTCTGGCTTTGCATTAAAAATCACGAGTCCTTTACGTAATTAATTTCAGGGAACCGCAGGAATACACAGTGAAGTTTTTAAAACTTAAAAAAACCCACTAAGAAACATGTCAAAACAATTTTCCAGTCTCTCTTGGTATATCCACCAAATTCCTTCTCTCCACCTGCCTTGACATTGCTTTTTTAAATAGCGGGTCGCGACCCACCGTAAGAAGTATACAGCTCTGTTATAAATTATCGAGATATATAAATATAATTTACTTGAACACATAATAGTAGTATTTATAAATTATTAATTATAACTTTGTATTCCGAGGGAAGTATTAAAAATTTGTATTTAAGCTGTAGAACTAAAATCTGTAATGTTGTGGCACATATATTACGCTTCACTAATGGTGAGGAATTTTACCACCGGCTCGGCAAATATATTAAGTTACCAATAACGCTCCACTCACATAAACTTTCTGCTTGTAAATAAGAAAGCAGTCACTTGCCGATCATAGTTAGCAGATTGTAATTCACAGAGTACTGCCAGGTGGCAGGAGTAACCAGTGTATATTGGCGAGCCTGATTGCATTCAATATTGGTACACATGCACAGGTGCATTATGGGACACGTTTCAGTTACGTAAGCCATCTTCCTATTGGTGTATGAATCGCGGGTTTATTTGAGCTTCAAAGGTAATGAATAATTAACTTTAATTAGTTGGTCTAGAATGCAAGCCGTGTTGTTGAAGGAATCTTTATAAATGTTTGTGTTCATGTTCCAAGGCCTTGATTTATTTTGTAGTTGCTGTGGTCTTATGAATGCAGGTTTTCAATCTGCCTTTTAAGTTGGATTTGAGGTTATCACGGCGATGAGTACGGAGATAATTGGCCGTCTTCTGGTTGTAGTGACACATAGTCTGGTAGACGTTTACTCAGTAATGGAGGCAGCCAGGGCCTCTGAAACGTCGGTAAACTTCTACCAGACTGCACGACGCTACAACCCAGAACACAGCCGTCTTCGTCTGAGGTGTGGTCGCGGAAAACCTGAAGGAAGGGGATCCCTGGGGATCCTAGGGGTTTTTAACTTGGCTCGTAGGGAATTAATATTTTTAAGTAATCAATTGGCACCATGCCTTTGGAATGAAGACGTAATATTCAAAGTAAGAACATATGAGTAGTAATTTATTACTTTATTTGCATCATTTCAAGTAAGCAATTCTCTTACATCAGAGATGCATACAATCAAATATGATCTCAACTAAGAACACAGTGAAACTGCATGTGCATCCCAGAAGAAGTGTGTAGAATGCCACTGTGAGGTGAGACAACTCAAACACAAAATACATGTCATCGTCAGTGGTACCATGTTCCATAAATTGGGCTTCACTTTCTAATATCGCACTCCATCTCAGGTTTGACCAGTATTTCTCTCCGAGTCCACCTTCCAGACAGCGCTGAATTAGAATATTGAATCTATCCAACAGGGGACTGCCTTTTGTTAAGTACATACCATACATTACTGGAGATATGATATCATATAGGGAGCACAAATATTTATCATAATCTTTGGTAATACCTATAGTTGAAGCAATGTACTGCATGTGGTGTTTACTAGTCTTCAGTGCAATGTCATGCTTTTCAATCAGATTGATTAAACATTCATCATCTCTACAGTATGCTTTCTCATTATCTGTTGCAAATTCTTTCATAAATAGATCTAGCACAAGATCTGGTATTCCAGCCTCTCTAAGTTCCTCTGGTGTTTGAATCTGCTTCTCATATCCTGGTTCAATGAGGAATGAGATGAAAAATGCCTGGAATACTGTGTTAATGGCAAAGCAGAACCAAATGAAAATGAAGAGCAGAGCCCTAAGTTGGTAGTTTCTGGGCATTGCGGGTGCTGAAACACCCAGGAAAACAGCCCAGACCATGTAGAAGCAATGATGGTATGTCTTATAAGAAGTAAAGTCTGCTGATTTGGCATCAAATATAATTATGGTGGTAATCCAAAATACAGCAGCTGTTAGAGCGAGAACGAGAACTGCGGCGATCCATACAGATGGCATGAAGACTCGTGTTATACTTTCCATTCTAGGAATTGGTCTGGGGCAAGGTGTGTAACATTTCATGCTTGTATATACATAAGGTCTTGTTGGATCACCATCTATCAGATGATAAAATCTCATGGAAAATGACCCAATGACAACATCAGCCCTACTCTCCTCTAACTCACTCATTTTCTCTAAATTACTCTCCATTGGCCGGAGGAACTCAACCTTCAGATTCATAGCCGCAGTAATGAGGAGGAGATATTCAATTTCCAAACCTCTGAACTTGTATGCAGTGCTGCCATCTACATCTGTATAATTTGTTGTCAGTATCACGAAAGGTGGGTAATGCAGGGTGACAACTCGGATTGAGCAGCCCATTAGATCCTTGGGAATTTTTCTAGAGAACAAGTGGGCATTGTTGCTGAACTTCCCTTCTGCCCACTGGTCAAGCAGTGTGAACTTACCCTCTGTACAGTGGCCTGACTCATATGGGAACCAAGTGTACAAATCAAGCACTGGATCCTCCAGTTCGTTACCACGTTGTACCAGAATCACTGCACTTACAATCCTTCTGGTTTTCCACAAGAATTCCAACAAATCCTTAGCCAGAGACTGAGAATTCTGGTTGGTTACAATTACCATATCCTGTCTGTATCTATTATTGGAATACTTGTTTGCCCTTAGAGTGTTCAGCTGGTGCATCAAGGAGGCAAGTAGGTTGCCCTCTGCTCCTTCTGTCCATAGAAAAATGACATAGCTGTGAACTTTTGGATATAAGTCATCATCAAACATGCCTCCTGTATCAGGTAGAATGTCTGTAAATTTTGATTGAGAAGTCAGAAGAGGGAAGCGTGTTTTCTCGTTTATGTAGTTCAGTACCTGATCCACCATTTCGAAACCATATTGTAATGAAACGGGGAGTAGCGTGCGTTGTGCCAGGTTCGGTTCGGTGCCTGGCATCGATACGACCACCTGTCGCTGTGGTGAGAAGTGCTGGTGTACGATGTTGTCCAGGCAGGCCACCGTGTGGTGCTGCGCTATAGTCAGCAGGTTGTTGTGTGTGACACACATCAGCTGTAGCAGAATCCCCGTCAACATTTTCACCGGCTCAGATTCAAACTAAGTTAAAACTCCTGCAGATGTGGCTTCAGATGGAAAGAAAAAAATAAGAAACTTCACCCGAAGGACGCGGCGACCACACTGCAGCCTTTTGGCTGTCCGCGTGTTTATAAATCATGATCTAGTGAACACAAATGTTCATAATGGAATGCAGAGGCTATTGGTTCTGTTCGTAATGATGATTGTTTGTTGGATAGTTTGTGCAGTGTTCTGAGTAAACTATTACATGGACATTTTCTTATTGATCTAGTGCAGGGTTTATCAACCTGTGGTACGCGAACTAAGTAAGAAAATCAAAATATAATATTAACATAAATAATTTTTACCTGAACGCATTTGGTTAGTGGTACATTTAGTGTGTTAAATTAGAATTAGCGGTACGCCAGCAGAAAAGGGTGAGAACCCCTGGTCTAATTGATCGATCTTTGCTATATTTTAAATTTGGGTGCTCTTGTTTTTAGCGTACCGAACCTGAAAAGCTGAAATCGATTTTGATATTATCAACCAATCATCTTGAGAGGTAAGAATTATCTTTTTTGCATGGAAACAGAACAACCGCATGCAAAATATAAATTGGAAGTTGATTAAAGTGTCAGCAGAATGCTTTCGTAGTAATGATAAATTCTTTTAGAAACTACACCTTAGCGCTGCAGGACTCATTTGTCTGATAGCAAAATAGCGCTTGAAGGCTGAATTATTAAAGTGATATTCTCATATAATGATTCGTGCTGATGGACATAGCGTGAGTCAAGGTGATTACTAAGGCAGAAAAAGAAACCGCTATTGCTGAAATTGTTTTACAGCTCGTTTCAGAAAATATTGAATGTAGTTTCTTAAAACATTTCCCTTGACGAAATTTCAGGATCTCACGGCGACGAATATGAAAATTACTGCCTGGGTTGTTGAGGTCCTTGCTGCTTCCGCCATTAGGACGATGATGATGGAGTCAAAAAGGACCTCTGAAACGTCGGTAAACTTCTACCAGATTACACGGCGCAACAACCCAGAAGACATCCATCTTCAGACTCACCGGCGTGAAAACCTCAAATCCTACATAGATTTAAGCAGTTTCTAGGATGCAACATAACTGAATTTTGGTGTTCGAAGTGTATTCCAGAGATTTCTCGAGAAAATAATTTAGTTATTATAAATTTAACTAAGCAATATTCTTCATGGTTTCTTGTATAATTATTTTTACGGTAATACTGTAGTTGACTAAATTACTGTCATAGCTATGTAATTTATATTTGTGTTAGGAACAACTATTTTATTCATGCTTTGACATGTTCTGCGTCTTTGGTTTGGGTCAATGAAGAATCAATAGAACGTAAACAAATAATGTTCGAACTGGTTTACAGTTGTGATAATAGTCTCTGCATTTGTGATAACCTGTGGTGGTTATCGATCACTATGGTAACGTTGCATTAATCTCTAATCTAAACATAACATTGCTCGTTTGCTGCCGTACGTTCGTAAATGTCTTTAGTTATGATTGTTTTTAATGCAACAGAAACGTCCAGTTTTGCAGAATTGTAATGGAATCAGAAGAAAGAAAAGTAGAAGCTCCCCACAAAAAAGTAAGTGCTAACGTATAATTTAGTAATCCGTACAAGCTTACGTCATGTTAGCATTAACAGTCCGATTTTATGTTAAAAAACCTTATCAGTGGTTACTGGTAACATAATACTGCACTAAGTATAATATAATTACGAAAGATTTAATGAAAACAGAAATTACATCAATCTTAACCTCTTCCATACTGCTAAGCCCCAAATGCTAAAAATTTGTTTTTTTATAATTTACATGTAAAATGTAAGGTTTTTGTTCGTGAATATTTGTGTCATTGACACAAACAGTGCATGATATGGGAAGAGCTATATAACAAGTGCTTTTAAAATTAGGCAGCATATTATGTTGTTTACTTAATTTTCTAGCGGTACCGAAAGGAGGAATCTAGCTCCGATTCTGAGGCTGATTATGTGCCGTATGTACCTGTGAAGGAGCGGAAGAAGTTTCAGTTAGTGAAGCTTGGACGACTGACTCAGGTAACTGCCATTTTGATAATTCGTTCAGAATGTGACTAATTTTACCTAGATATTTTGTCACCCCCTTGGTGTTTGCTGTTATTTATATCACCAGATAATATTTGAATGTAATTGGAAGTTGAGGCTCACAATTTCCTGAAATGAACAAAGTTCTAATGCAGTGATGTGGGTGAACACCGGCCATAAAAACAAGATTTGAGGTTATCATAGAAATTCGAATTTGGGTTGTAGTGTAATGGGCTATCAGTCTTGTACATGGTTATCAGTGTTTTGGATGAATGCACAGCTTGTGTCTTAGGGTATTCCGAAAGCTGGAGGTCATGCATTCCTCCAAAATGTTGTTAACACTTACTTCAGTCTGCATAAGCTTTGGATTTTATCTTTATGAAATACGTAAACTAAGTTGCCCGTTGATACTTTGTGTTGGTTTGAACCAAATTTGGCAGATAGCAAGTAAGTTTATCTGTACCCTGTTGATGGGACTGGTATGAACTTTGACACAAGATGTTTTGTGCCAGCTGAAAGAAGAATTTGGTCAGCGTGGGAAGTCGTCGAGTGAAAATGAACATGACAATGAGGATGACGAAGATGGGCAGGTTTGGGGGCGCAAATCCAATATCAGTTTGCTGGATCAGCACACAGAGCTTAAGAAACTGGCAGAAGGTAAGACACTCTGAATGAAGATCTAGGTGAAATGGCTTGCCATCCTTTCCACCAATTGTGCTGTCTGCGTGGTGGGACGTAGACTCTGCAGTTTTGCCACAAAAATCATAATAAGTCTCATATGAATGCATAATTTTTTTCTCACTTAACTGGAATAATAAGCAAGCCATAGCAAGTGGAGGAACCATAGCTTTGTACTTTATCACTTTGCAATTTGTAGCCAAGAAGGAGAGCGCCATGGAGCGTCAGTTGAAGGAGGAGGAAAAGATCTTAGAGAGTGTTGCTGAGAAGAAAGCACTGATGGGGGTGGCAGAACTGGCAAAGGGCATTCAGTACGAGGATCCTATTAAAACATGGTGAGTCTTGTCCATTCTGTGAACAGATATTAGTGATGTGAAATGGTTTGCAGTTCACAGACAATGTAAGAGTTGATAATGAAATGAAATAATAATTTAAAAGCTGCAGCATGTAACAAATATAAAGAAGCATGGAAGATTTTGGGGCAGCAACACTTTAAAAAAGAAGCAGGTAATTGTGGTGTCGTGATGTCAAAGCATGGCCTCTCTCTCATCTTCTTTTTTCTTTTCTTTTCCTTTGTGAACTACTGATAAGTATTGAGAGTTTCTGTTCAGTTCATGTTTAGGAGACAGTCTCCACATTTAGAAGCTGTTAATTTATGTTGGTCTTTGGTGATTTATTGCATACCACAAATCAGGTGCTCTGTCTCACTCAGTCCAATATTTGGAAGATTTGATTCCAGTCCAATTTGGGTCCTACTGTGACAGTTCTGAAGATAAATTGGAACAGGTAGAGAATGGTCAAATTTTTAGTAATGCATGTGGGCTCAGCTCATGTGACACTTAGAATCATACCATGACACGGTTGAGAAACGCGGAGTTAGGCAGGTGTTTCATAGGCTAGTTTGTTGACTACCTGTAGGGAGTCTTCTTAGATTGAAAGACGAACTTCATTTGGAAAATAATCCCGCATCATCACATGACTTCTTGCAGCATTTATTGTTCTTTTTTTCAGCTGGAAACCACCACAGTATATCTTGGCAATGTCTGAGACACGTCACAACCGCGTGCGTAAGAAACTGCGCATATTGGTTGAGGGGGAGGATGTGCCTCCTCCTATAAAGTCATTTGCCCAGATGAAGTTTTCACGTGGTATTTTAACGGGTCTGGAACGGAAGGGCATCGTGTGGCCAACGCCCATACAAGTTCAAGGCATTCCGACCGTGTGAGTACTGATTGCTATGAATTCAAGTTTTGTGACATAATAAGATCAGTAAATGATGCTTTAGGAATTTTCATGATTTAGTTGTAGTAACATTCAGTACCATGAAGGAAAAGTTGAATGTGACTCAGACTTCTACACTGGAAATTGATGCGATATGTCCATCGAAACATTACTATGCTCCCACAAGACCATGCAGTGTGTCTTAGCTCAGAAGAACGCAGTGCAGATGGTGGAGCTGTTCGTATATTGTAGAATTCTTGATTGCGTAATTCCACGGTGATGTGACCATCACATCTGGAATGTGGGTACTGCTGCCACAGAATGATCAAAAGGTCGTATGACCCATATACATGATATGGATGCAGAGTACTTTGTTGTTGCATTGTTCGCTACGAGATGACGTATTTAAAGATTTCAGTGATCAGTGGGAAGAATGTCAGTGCCCTTACTATGGTGATATTCTATGATAGGCTGTCGGGACGTGACATGATTGGAATAGCGTTCACTGGAAGCGGCAAGACTTTGGTGTTTGTCCTGCCACTTATCATGTTCTGTCTAGAACAAGAGACGCGTTTACCGTTTATCAAGAATGAGGGTCCATACGGTAAGTACCAGCTTTTTGTTTTGAAAAGGATTACCCTATTATTATTTTTTGATGTGATGAAGGATGTGGTAACAAGTTGTGAACATGCCTGTACATTTCAAACAGGCTTTCTTTCTTTGTTTTCTGTCTGTCTGTCTCTCTCTCATTTTTTATGCTTGTTTGAAAATTAAAAACATCGTTGAAATTCAAAGTTTTCTGATAACAGTCTGTACAATTATGTTCTTGGACTTCATCCATTCTGTAAGTGCGTCTTTATTTTTAAAAACACAAGATGGCATTCAGGAGTTGATGTTGGTTCTGTCTTCAGGTGACATATTCAACAGAATATGTCATTATATGCAAACACATAATTACTTGAATGTCTTAATTCAAACTAACTCCTTTGAGCAGAGCCTTTTACGAGAAGATAATAATCGGTCAGAAGATTTGAGAGGTGTATCGCTATTCACAGTGAATTGTGTTAATGATAATTTCTTCTGAGAATTCTTGTTTCTGCTCTGCTTCTGGCTTCATTCTTTACGTCTATTGGTAATTGCGTTCACATTTTGCTGTATTTTCTGTCATTGTCTTCCTTATTTCCGTAAGACTGAGTGCCAAATAACCCTTTGCGTTGGCTCAGTGTTCCGTGAAGAGTAACATGTTGTTTGACTTAGGTCTCATCATCTGCCCATCTCGTGAGCTTGCAAAACAGACTCATGACATCATCACGCACTACTGCTCAGGACTGCCACATGAAATACGCTGTTGCCTTGCCATTGGTGGGATCCCTGTGTCAGAATCCATGGACATCATCAGTAGGTCAGTGTCATATTTGAACTGATGACTGTTTTGTCATGGAGAGGCCTAACTTGCACAAGGAAATGAAGTAACGGCAGAAAGGAAATAAGTACACGACGTTGCGCTCGACATTGTTGAGGAGGTGCCAATTTTAAACACTAACTGGAGAACTGATTGTCTTGACTGAGGTATTTGTGGTTTTCTGTAGTCCTTCCATGTCAGTATCGCAGTAATACCTTTAAATGACCTGCTATCTCCTTCCTGGATGACTGTCCGCAGTAATTTTGTGACCTTATTTGGCACTAAGTTCACATTGCATAGTTGAATAACCTGAAAACAATCTAAGCTTTATAGACTTTTATTTTAGCAGTAATCTGGTCGGGTTCTATATTGTCATTTTGTGGGTTACAATTAAGGGGGCAGTGTATAAATAACACAGGAAATAACTTGATAAGGTTTGTTTAATAAGTTCAGGCTCTGTAGGGCCAGTAGTGTACATGCTGTGGGGTGGGGGTAAAGAGGCAAGACCACTCGCCCGTGTCCAGTATTAAGATCCAGACTGAATGAAGCTTTATCTTCACGCCGTCTGCACATCTTTGTGGTCCTTAGGCACAGGGATGATGACCTTACGTAGAGAGAAAGATTTGCCTTTTGAATAATTGTTGTGTGTGCAGGGGTGTCCATATTATGGTCGCCACACCAGGTCGGCTGATGGACATGTTGGACAAGAAGATGGTACGACTGGATGTCTGCAGGTGAGATGCAGGTGATATCTTGCAGCGTGTTATGTGAATTTGTCTGTAGACAGCAAATTAGTTGTGAGACTGTGATTTGTTTTGTTACCCATCGCATGCATCAGACGACAGTTCCTTTGCATGTGATTCTGACTCGTACACATGTTGCAGATACTTGTGCATGGACGAGGCAGACAGGATGATAGACATGGGCTTTGAGGAAGATGTCAGAACAATATTCTCATTTTTCAAGGTTGGTAACATCATGCAGAAAACGATGTCCGTGTTTCGGACTCAGCTAAATGGATGGCATATTTTGGGGTCCCATTTATATCATAAACATCTCTCACTTGAAATATGAGTTTGTTGAATCAAAATTTTGAATTTTTTTTACTAAAACAGATGAATGCCTCTGGTTGATGTCTGCTGATTCCATCTGCTTTTTCTTGATTGATTGATTTATGGTTCAATTAATTACACTTGATGGCTGCAGATGCTGTAATTGTGTCAGATCGTAATGTTATTTGTGATGTCTTGGAAGGGTTTAGAAGGAGCAGTTGAAATCCTGAATCTCTTTGATACAAATCAGCAGTGTTAACAGTGACTCTGTGTTTATCTTGGTGGGATTTGAAGCTGTCGTGGCATCGAGTACAAAGATGGTTGTCTTCTGGATTGTAGCACCAAGGTCATTGCTAACTACATCATCAGGCCCTGATGATGGAGGCAGCAGTGCCCTCTGAAACGTTGGTAAACGTCTAGCAGGCTACGTGGCGCTACAACCCAGAAAACAGCCTTTCGTGTTTCTCTTAAATCCACTGTGTCTTTGCTTCTTCAGAAGTAAGTGTGTGTGTTGAATGCTGTAATATTCTTAATTAATGGCGTGTAGGGCCAGCGCCAGACACTTCTTTTCTCAGCCACGATGCCTAAGAAGATCCAGAACTTTGCAAGATCTGCGCTAGTGAAACCGGTCACGATAAACGTTGGTCGTGCTGGAGCGGCCTCCATGAATGTCATACAGGTATGGAACAGAAGAACACTTGGGCCAGTTGCTGAAATGAAATTTAATGACTGTTCACAAATTACTTACAATGTTTGTATTAAGTCTTTGCTACTAATTAAGGCATTCTAGTTGTAAATATCAGGAGTTGGTGCATTGTTCATAGTAAAAATACAAATACAATGATTCAAGTTTCGTATAAAATAAACAACAAAGAGTGAAATGCACGTGTTGGTTGCAGGAAGTTGAATATGTGAAGCAGGAAGCAAAGATTGTGTACCTTCTGGAGTGCCTGCAGAAAACCCCACCACCAGTTCTCATTTTTGCAGAGAAAAAGCAAGATGTGGACGCTATTCATGAGTACCTGCTGCTGAAAGGAGTCGAAGCTGTTGCTATTCATGGGGGCAAAGGTACAGGACTGATTGAAACGACATATATCAATTATCTTCCAAAGCACTTGTAATGATGTGGTGTCTGTCTGAATTTACTGTATAATTTCTTCTTTTTCTTTGAGTAGGAGGTTCCCCCCCTCACCCAGTTATGGGTCTGTGTAGGATTACAAATGTAACTAACTTGGGTCTGTGTTGATGGAATGTTGAGTTTCTACACCAGTGGTTTGAGAGTCTGCCACAGGAATTGACTGATCCAGTCGAGTCCTTTTTTACATCCTCACAACCTGTGTTTTGTTTCTTCACCCATCACTTCCTTCTTGGTGTATGAAGTAACTGCTTTCCTAAAGACATTTTGTTAGCCATAATGATTCAAGGAGAAGATACCGACCTCCTGACTGTTTCTTGTTTGCAAGCTTGTATTTTCTTTTCAAACACGGTTTATTAGAAAGCCTTGCATTATAATAGTGTTAAGGCAGATCACTAACTCTCATAGTTCACATTTAAGTGCCAAAGGACGTGCTGGTTCAGGCATAACTTTCTGCACTCCTGTACCAAATGTTTTGAGTTTGAACCCTGCAAAGTTTAGTGCAGACTTTTCCGTTTGTCAGCTTCAAGCTTTGACAGTCATTACTTTGCTAAGCTGAGAGGCCTCATCAGTGTCATTCTGAGTAGTGGTTTCCACCATATGATAGGCAGTCAGAGCCCAGGAAGGTTCTTCAGTTTATAACTGGAGGCAGTCTCCATATCAGTGATCTGAAACTGAATGATTGCTTTGTAAGCTACGATTTTTGTTTGTTGCAGATCAAGAGGAGCGGTCACGGTCAGTTGAAGCTTTCCGCAAAGGACAGAAGGATGTGCTGGTGGCAACAGATGTTGCCTCCAAGGGTCTTGACTTTGCTGCTGTACAACACGTTATCAACTATGACATGCCTGATGATGTGGAGAATTACGGTTAGTTCCCACTTATATTGCGCTTTGCGTGAGGGTGCATTATAAAGTTTGATGAATTTGTGCTCGATCAGTTGATGATTGTTGTCGGAACAGGTTTGTGGTTGAAATAGTAAGTGTTAAGTCTTCGTATGTGTAGAATGTACGCAGCTGTACCCTTGGAATTGCAGTTCACCGAATTGGACGAACAGGACGTTCAGGCAAGACTGGAATCGCTACAACTTTCATCAACAAGGCAAATGATGAGTCAGTTCTGCTGGACTTGAAACATTTGCTGATGGAAGCAAGACAGAAAGTGCCACCTTTCCTTGCTGCTCTGCAGTCGGAGAATGAGAAGTATTTGGAGCTTGGAGGTGAGTATTGAGTCTTTCTTCTCGTAGGATCTACCAGCATCCCTTTTCCTTGCAGATTCAAAGAGTAAGTAAAATATTAGGGTGTGGCCATGTCCTCAGCTATAATATTGTGGGTTGACGTAAAATATAGTAGAATATATTTTTGTCTTATTCCTCCTCCTAATGTAGCGTGTTCTGCATTTTTGTGGCAGGAATGGGTGTTACAGGTACTTTTAGTGAATATTGTGGTCCGAACCCTCATGCAGTCTCAGGTGTTATTAGAATTAAAGCATGAATTGACCCACAGAATTGTTTGTTACGTAAATGTCACTGTTGTTCTTTGAGCACCTTTAAGCAAGTGCGTACTATTTCTGGACTGTTCTCCCTGCATACATTGAATTATATTTATATTCATTTGATCTTAAAAATTACACTTGATGCCACCACTGATCAGAGAAACTAATTGCTGTTTACTCTTGTCACATTATAGATGAACGAGGTTGCAGCTACTGTGGTGGTTTGGGCCATCGGATCACAGACTGCCCGAAACTGGAGGCAATCCAGAATAAGCAGGCCTCCAACATTGGACGGAGAGACTATCTTGCCAGCAATGCTGCTGATTACTAGTTTCATCTGCTGTGTAGAAATTGAGAGCCTTGCTTGCTTATGTAAAATCCTGTATTGATGATTGTTGGGTGTCTAGTGGGGTATGTTTTACATTTGCAGGTTTGTCATGTTCCTTTGTCCCTGCAGAAAAATTCTAGAGTGGTGCCTCGAACATGTGCCCAGACCTTTCCAGATAACTTACATGATTGTCATCTTATGTCGCCCATTGATTTATAGTCCATGGGTACTGCAGACAGTTTCGCTCACCATGCGATTTGTACCGTGTTACCTGTTTCAAAGAATGGAGAAGCTTGTAATTTTCACCTGCATTGCCAAGTACTTACTTAAATCTATGGTACAGACTGCATCCTGAACAGTCACTAGGTATGATGCTTCATAAGATTTGAGTCATGGTGCCCACCATCATTGCAAAAGTTTATCACTGAGTTCTGTCCTGAGCCAATGGAATCTATTTCACAGCCTGTTTCAAAAAATATCTTCTTCCTACTACTACTTGTTCTCTTTAGCAGTCTCTTTCCATGTTATTTTCCATTCAAAATTTTGTGTGTGTATCTTGTTTCCCACATTTGTGCTACATGTTGAATAAAATAAATATAAGTGTACAAGGGCATTTGTCTGGAAACAAATAAAATGGCAGAATGAGAGGATTCAAACTGTTCTGGATAGCAGTTTATGTCATACAGCTGAATCCATACTCAGATACATTTTCAAGTACTAGTAGAATTACTATCAATTTCCTAGAATTGTGTAACTCGCGTACCAAGTTGTTTGCCGATTACAATACATGGAGACTTTGATCTGTTAGCATGGAATGATATCAAATGAAGAAGTTACTCTTAAGTGGAAGTTTCTGAAATCCATTTAAACAGCCAAGGTAAGGATGTGCTTACTAATACAGGGATGTGGAATAGTATATACATTATGTTCCTTTACATTGTTGCTGAGAAATACCGATTGGTCTGCTGTTTTATTTCCTTTGGGTACAACCTTCATAACTAATAATTATTCTGACAATATGCGTCATAATTATGAGTGGAATTGCATGCAACATGCATTCGATGTTGAAAACGTTCCCTGACTGAGAAGCCTAAGGGATGAATCTATGTTTTGTGAAATATAAATAGTTACTTTGAGTTTTACTTGTGCATACATTAATTTTTCCCCGAAATCCCATTTTAATATGACAAGATTTCAAGATACACGGAACGTGGTATAAGAAATCTACTCTCCATTCCCGTGATCAGAGACATGCTTTATAATTCGCTCTCCTGCATTCATCGGATCAAACAGGCACTGATATTTTCAGCGACAGACTTGGGCACAGTGGGGACTTTGGTATATCATTACATGCTTCCGTGTGAAATTACTGATGGGTAACTACAGTAGGGGTTGTAATAACATCTGATACGGGTGAGAGATGCGAACTGTGGCAGAATTTGTTGCCGCTAGGGCAATGATATAAGAATATTCGTAAAACGCAATAATTGACTTGCATATGCAGAAGAAAACCAATGTGCAATTCAGGAATTTGTTTTTCATATTCATAAAACAATTTTTACGCTTGCGATAATAACGTCATAGGAACAAACTGTGATCTTGGCTTATTGGATTATGGACCTTGCAGTGTTCCGCTTTTAATGGTGGAAGTATGGGATGCTGTTTGTGTTCAAAATTTTCGACGTACATATATCTGTCACGTATAATTTTTGGACAAACATCATTTATAGTTGATGTACCTGAGTATACGTATAAGCGTGCGTGGAACGTGTTTTGAATGCCATAAATGACGTAATGTCTGATGATTGGTAGGTAATATAAATTTCGGTGGTACTCCGGACCAAAATTACACAAGGTACCACCAGAAAAAAAACATGTGTATCATAACGAAGATACGAGAAATGCGTTGTAAGATTAGTGTCTTGTCCTTTTTGCAAACTACTGTCAGTTTATGAGTACCAACCTGTGTCACACTATTCTGTTACCATGCAGATGATTTAATTGAAAGATTTCATTTCTTATGAGTAATACATTGAAATACGAGTATATCCATAAGCATAGTACATTCATTACATGTTAAAACTAAATACTTTATTTATGACATGAATAATGTATCTGATAAATGTTAGTTACAAACATGAAATATATGTTACTAAAATTATATCATGTTCATAAAAACAACTGTGAATGAAGCAGTCATTTTTATTTTTTGGAAAAACTTGCTTTATTCTTTGTAGGATTATATCATTGAGATGTTGACAGATATCATGAACCATCACATGTTAGATGTAATCACTGACCAGCGAGTCATAAGATGGCTGGAAATATTGTATTCATTGGCAACAAGGACCCCAAGGATTGTTCTGGATCGAGTGGAAGAGACATTACCTACTCTGAGACGCAGTATGGTGAGTGTTGTCATGGCTTTTGTCATAGTAGAGAGTAATTTTGAAAGTTTTACTTTTCCCACTGGCTCTAAATGATCATTCCTCTTACAGTAGTTGCATTCTCATGAATACAATTTCAGGTTTTATTTATGGCTTTATACTTGAGGTAATCCATTTCTGGCTGTTTACGGGTGCAAAGTAACCTCTGACACAGTTTGTGTAATAATTGCTTAATAGATATGCATTTTCAAAACTCTCTTATCCTGCATATGAATGTGCATAATCAGAATAGGAACAATAGTAATATTTATTTTAATGAATCTATTTCCCTTTCAAGAGTATCAGATTAAATTCTGAAACAGACAGACAAACACAACCAACATGTACAGTGGTGACAGAAGATAAGTACCATTCCACTGAAGGAATAGAAGAAGAGGTATGTGATATGCATTTGAAACACTTATAACATATCTGATTGTGAAAGTTTGAAACTATTCTTTCATTATGTGTTTGTTTTAGACTGAGAGTCATCAACGAAAGGACACAAATTATACCGTTGAAAGAGAGGAAGAAATGGAGGAGGTATGTAAATTCATGCCGATGTATCTGTTGTAATGCAATTCTGATTCAGAAAGTCAGAAACAATTCTTTTATTATATTTGTTTCAGACTCATAGATTTCAACAAGAAGATACAAGTCATACCATTGAAAGAGCACGAGAGGACACAAATCATGCCATTGAAAGAGCACAAGAGGACACAAATCATACTGTTGAAAGAGCACAAGAGGACACAAATCAAGAGGACACAAATCATTGAAAGAGCACGAGAGGACACAAATCATGCCATTGAAAGAGCACGAGAGGACACAAATCATACTGTTGAAAGAGCACAAGAGGACACAAATCAT